AGAGCTGGGATCAGAGCCACCCTCCAGCTTCCACACGCCAGGCTCCCCTCGGGAGTCACGACTTGCTTAAAGTAAAGTGGCCCACACCACTTCAGCGCTCGTCCAAGAAAGCCCTTCTCGCAGCACAAAAGTGGGGGTCCTTGGGAAGCTTTGGACAGGTTGCCCTTGTTGGAAAGGCATCTACGTTTAGCCGTTTTCTGTAGGAACACAGTGTGGGTTTTCACGTATGCCAGGCTGCACAGGGTTACTAAGCGAAAAATAAGATGACATGCTTTCCTGTCTCTGCTTTCACAACCCCAACTTCGGTTCAAACTTCCGCCTCTCTGGCCCGGAAGCTTCCTTCCTGGCCTCCCTCTCTCAGTGTGGTCGCCTCCCTCAGCCACAAGAATGACCTTCGCGCCACGCCATGGTGCAGACGCCTGTGCCCCGTGCCTCCCACACCCACGACGCCAAGGACACTCCCCGGAAGACGGGGACTCTCAAGCTTCAGTTTCAGGTTGGCCTTTCCTCTGATCTGTGCCTCCCGGTGAACTGACGGGTGCTGACCACCAGGAGTAAACATGAAAAACAGGAGCCTGTCTGCTTTAGGAGGAATGATCAAGTGGCAAAGAAAGTCAAAGCAAGTGCGAGTATTTGTAATGAACTACACAGTCCCCGATTGCGTGCATACCCTTGGATATGCTGAATTTCTGATCTGATACATCTTGGAGCGAACATTTTAAAAATCTATCCTGGACAGATGGCAAATTTAGCCTTCCCATGTCCGGCTTTTCTCACTGGACTTTGGCCTCTCCGTTTTTGAATGCGTGCGCAACACAGCGTCTGGGAACAGGCGACGGGAGCCGCCCGCTCATGAAGCGCTGCACACCCGAGACCCTCCGGGCCGGCGGCCTGTGCCTGGTGCTGCTCACACTCTCCGCCCCCGACCGGAACTCTCGGGTTGAAGGACGCTGTCGTTAACGAGCTCTTTCCCCCCGACAGACAGAGCCTCGCTCACCGGGGGGATGAGGCGGCAGGAGCGGACGGTGTCGCCGAGGCCCATCCACTGCTGGTGGTCGGAGTACTCGCCGCGCCGCAGGAAGTACTGGGGGCCCTGGTAGTTGGGGCGCTCATAGAGCATCCAGCAGCCGCTGTCCACGCGGACGGAGTTGCAGCGGCCGAAGTAGGGCTGCAGGTTGGGGCAGTCGCTGGTGCACTCGTAGCAGCGGCCCTGGAAGGCCCGGTCCTCGAAGAAGGTGATCTGCGGGACGGAAGACGGCCGGCATGGGGTGGCTGGCCCCGAGGACGCCGCCCCGGGCGAGGGCTGGGCATCCGGCTCCCAGGACTTACCTTTCCCATTCTGGAGAGAGTGAGCAGATGTCCTCTCGGGGCTGTGTGGACCGGGGGAGGCTCGCTGTATATATAGCAGCCCTGACTGCTGCCTCCACAGGAAATCACACAAAAGGGCCCGTTTCGGTGAGTAAGGGGATTTGCGAGCTCCCCGCTCTCCCTCCCCCTGGTCATTGGGGTTAGCTGAATGGTTTACTCTCATTCTTTCTGGTAGGTTCGGGTTGTTCTAATGCACTAAAGCTGTTGTTGCCATCAAATGAAAAGAGTCTTTACTCTTTTAGTTGAGCAAAAGGATGAGCGGAATTCTATCCCCGTGGTTTTATTTTATAGCTTACTCTGCTTAACTGATTTCTCAAAGGTCACTAAACTAAGCAATGGATTCTGCCCAGGGACTGCTTTTTGTGGATTTTTGGTTTTTGGGGAAAAAACCACAACTTTTTTAAAAGCCAGAGGTTAAACCATAAGGAATCTCAAGGAAGAGGGAATCAAGTGAAGTGATCCGTGCAGGGGCTTTGAGAACCACAGCTTAGTTCAAGGTCGAGGTACTGTGCTCATCGGCGTTGCTTGGGGGCTTATGCTGTGTCCAAATTTGTCTGCGACTGGACACCTGTGGGCTCTTGGAGGCAGGGAGTTCTGGCCGCCCACGTCTGCCTCTGAGCCTCAGAGAGAGGGTCGGCACCCGGGAGCCCTCAGTGCTTGGCTTTGGCCTGAATGAGCCGAGAGCCGTGGCCCGCCCCCCTTTCTCCCACCTGCCCGGGGCTCGAGTCCTTCCTGCCGCTGGTGCCTGTCCGGAGTCCTGCCTGCTCTTTGGGGTCCCTGCCCTGCCTCCGAGGCGACCACCGAGTGGCTGACTGGTCTTCTCAAGGGCTGAGGCCGGACTGGGGCTCAGTCGGTCCTGACTGCTGGCGGACGGGACATTCCACGGTGGTGGGCACTGGATTCACCTCGGAAGCAGGAGTTAACACACATCCTTCCTCTCTGCCGCCGTGGACTCTGTCAAACTCACTCGGCACGAGGCTGGCTGGTGGCAGAGGCTGTCTGATACCCAACGGCCAAATCAGCCTATCTGTCTGCTTCGTGCCCCTTCCGTGGTGGATGCCCCACATGGGCGTGCACATGACCACACCCCTCTTCACACCTGGCGCCCACCTCCCCGTCTCCATAGGCCCGCCTCTCTCTACCCCAGACTTTCTCACCTCCCCCCCCACCCCGGTCTTCCCCCTTCTGGGCCCTGGCCCTGCCGGCCGTCCACTCAGTGCTCGACGATTCCACACGTGTCCTGACCTCAGGCTGCTTTCCACACAAAATGGACGGCCCAGGCTCCGCCCGCAAGTTGCCCCTGGGGGGATTCCCCGCGCTGCTGTCGTTAGGGCCACCCTCGGTGAGCGGTGGTGCAAAGCTTCCCGTTTTCGGCTCGCACCCACACGCCAAGCTCTCCACGAGTGGCTCAAGCTCAGCCCCCTTCCTCCTCTGGCAGCTGCCGGGAGGGACCCCTGCAGGCGGCCGTCCCAGTGAGCTGAGAGCGAGTGCCACGGTGGGGACCTCGGCCAGTCCCGCAGGGAGCTTGGGCCAGAGCCTTCGCGCACCAGGGCAAGTCGACTGGGACTCTGTCCCCGCATGGTCCTCCATTTGATGCGGGCTGCCACTGCGGAGGGCAGCCTCGGGCAGGGCAGACCCCCTCAGCAGAGAGAAACTTCCTGAAGAGAAACTCCGCTTTAAGCCGTCAGCATCAGGGGAAAGGAGTGCCCGGCCCTGATGGGAGCCTGGACGGGGCACCACAGTGCCCACAACAAGAAGAAACAGAAATGGCCGTGATCCCACCGACGGAGATGACCACATCAACATCTTGGTGTTGGAGCCTCCAAGCTCTTGTCTATGTAGAACCCATGCATAGTTGCACGGTTTTATTTATACAACATTATTTATACACTGTAGTCTACTCTTGTTTCCTTCTAAGTCGCTATTTATTTAAGGATTAATATTTATTTATTTGAGTCCGAGTCTCACTCTGTCACCCAGGCTGGAGTGCAGTGGCAGGATCCTGGCTCACCTTCCACCTTGACTTCCTGGATTCATCCAGTCCTCCCTCCTCAGCCTCCCTAGTAACTGGGACTACAGGTACGCACCAGCACGCCTGGCTATTTTTTCATTTTTTTTATTTTTTGTAAAGACCAGGTCTCACTATGTGGCCCAGGCTGGTCAACCACCCTGTTTTATACAAAACCCAGTATATTCGGTGTCATTCACAGGTGGGTGCTTGAGGAGGGTGATGAAATAGTGAGCATTGATCTGACGTGAAACTCCCCAGATTTTTATCTGTAGTGTGATGGTTAAGTGATTTAGGACCCTAGAGAAACAACCTGTAAGTCACATAAATTCAACCAATCTCTGGTTCTGATGCAGAGAGAAATCAGTAATCCTATGAAAGAGAGATAAATTAAGTATCAGGGCTGGGTGTGGTGGCTCACACCTGGAATCCCAGCACTTTGGGAGGCAGAGGTGAGAGGATTGCCTGAATCCAGGGGTTCGAGACCAGCCTGGGCAACTTGGCAAGACCTCATTTCTGCAATAATTCAAGAAAAATTAGCTGGGCATGGTGGTGTGCATCTGTGGTTCCAGCTACTTGGAAGGCTGAGGTGGAGGAATCACCTGAGCCCAGCAGGTCGAGACTGTGGTGGCCGTGAGCGTGCCCCTGCACTCCAGCCTGGGCGACAGAGTGAGACTCTGACTCAAAAAAAAAATTCGGTATCTGAAATACTCTTCAGGACACCATTGCATCTGAAAGAAGAAATGCAAGGGTTACACATACTTCAGCATCAGCCGGGATCCTCTCACAGGGCCCTCTGGGCCTGCGTCTTCTGCCAGCTGTGGAATTCCTGATCTTTTTGGCGCTTTGGAGGCGCTTTTGCCTCCCCACAGATGGATCTTTCCTCGAAAGCCCAGGGGCTTTCACAGGCCTGGGAGCCGGGGGACGAGGTCCCCAGAGGAGCGGTCCTGGAAGGGGAAGTCGACCTCAGGAAGCTCCGTTTGAGCCTCTGCCCCAGCCTCTGTCTTACGGGAGTGGATCGCCTGCGGTGAAATCCACAGGACACGAAAGCGGAGCCCAGCGCACACCCCAGCTGGGGCAAGGTCTTTCGCCGGGTCTGGCGCTCAGGTCACAAGCCAGAGCCTGCTTCGGCCTGGCACATCAGCGCTCGCTGAAGCTCACAGAGCAGAACGGCCCGTCACGACCTTGGGTGTCCGTGTAGTTTGTGCAATAAGACAGCTACTTTCTCCCGCTTCTCATGAGACTGGCGGCGTCCTCTCCTGGCAGGGCAGAGGCCCTGACCTCCTATGGGCCCCACAGATCCCAGCTGCCCCAGAGTCTCTGGGTGCAAGGCAGCTGGCCTTCCCAGGAAGTCCTGTCAACAGCCGAGACCCTCATTCCGAGCAGCTTGTGTCCCCTCCTTTCTCATGTTCGCTAGCCAAAGGGAAAGCCAAGGGAAAGCCGCTGTGGGCAGGATCCCTCTGTTGGAAGAGAACCCACACAGCAGCCAGCGACGCTTGGGTCCTTTCGTGCCTGTCCGGAGCACGAGAAGGAGTCTGGGGCAGTGGTATGTTGGCTCTGCCCATCGCTTAACCTGACCCAGTGACCCTGAGGAATTGGTCCCATTAGTGGCAGCAACTATGTGGAGACATATGGGGGAACCAAATGAGGTAGCTGGGCTCGGGCGTGGTGGCTCAATTCTGTAATCCCGGCACTTTGGGAGGCGGGGGCAAGAGGATTGCCTGAGCCCAGGGGTTTGAGACCAGCCTGGGCAACTTGGCGAGATCTCATCTCTACAATAAACCAAAAAATTAGCCAGGTGTGGTGGCACACACCTGTAGTTCCAGCTACTTGGAAGGCTGAGGTGGAAGGATCGCCTGAGCCCAGCAGATCGAGGCTGCGGTGGTTGCGAGCATGCCTCTGCACTCCAGTGTGGGTGACAGAGTGAGACTCCAACTCAGAGAAAAACGTAATAATATTAAGGCACCTGGCAATAAAAGGTTGGTTCGAGAGGTTGGTGAGAAAGCCCTGTCTGCTGATTCCGAAGCCATGGGAGTGTCTGGGCCTTGAGTTGGAGGCCTGCACTTAAGTCCTCTCAATTGTACGGTCAGCTTCGAAAGTTGGAGAGGCTGGTGCCCAGGCAGGGGTTGGGGACTGTCTGTGGGGCAAGTGACGCCTGCAGGGCCTGCACCGCTGCTGGGTGATAAGCCAGCTCCTGCAAGCGACGCTGCCGGGGTCAACCTACCCTGCCTGCCCCACGGTTTGTCTTTCCCACTGCTTCCTCCAGAGGGTTTTTCTCCTCACAATACTAGCGGCCACTGCAAAATTGTGGACTCTGCACCATTTGTGAAGCATACGTTCAGGAGAGCAACGGCTACACACATCCACTCACACTCTTGCAGTTGTTTTTACGGCTGGTGAAAAGTCACTCAAATTCCCCAAGCCTCAGTTTCCCCATTTATTAAATAAACATTATCATGAAAAGCAAGTGAGATCATGGATTTGAAAGCAGATGGTAAATTGCAAAGTAATGCCAATGACTTAAAAAATCATATCATACATATTATTAAAGAAATAATTGGCCAGGCACAGTGGCTCGAGCCTGTCATTCCAGCACTTTGGGAGGCCAAGGCAAGAGGATTTCCTGAGCCCACGGGTTCAGGACCAGCCTGGGCAACATGGTGAGACCTCGTCTCTACAATAAATCAAAAAATTAGCCAGGCGAGGTAGCGCGCGCCTGTAGTTTCAGCTCCTTGGAAGGCTGAGGCAGAAGGATCGCCGGAGCCCAGCAGGTCGAGGCTGCGGTGGCCGGGAGCGGCCACTGCACTCCAGTCTGGCTGACTGAGTGAGACTCCATCTCAAAAGAAAAAAAAAGAAGTAATTTTGATACTTGATAAAGGCAGTACGGCAGACAGTTCAAAGGGGACCCCGGAGACAGGAATAGGGACTGTTGCCACAGGGTTTTGCAGTGGGGCAGAGAGATGAGATTCAACTCTGACTTCAACAGGGACAAGTGG